GAAAGAATAGGCATCCCACAAGCACTGATAAAAATAATCTTGGAAATGCAAGCAAACAGAACAGTAGACATAATTACAAAATATGGAACAACACAAAAGTACAAAATCAAGAATGGTTTGGACCAAGAAGATCCTATGTCACCCTTACTATGGAAAATATTCTATGACCTATTGATCAGCAAAATAAACAAGACAAAGCAGGGATACAAAATGAGCAGCGAATGGATCAGAAACTTTGCCACAGAAGAGTCAATGAAAAAAGAAGCTATATTGGGAAGCATAGTCTATATGAATGATACGACATAGATAGCAGGGGGGAAAAAAGAGATGGAAAGTATACTGAATTTAGCAGAAGAATTCTATTATATAAATGACATAGAAGTCAATATAGAAAAATCCAAGCTAATAGTACTGAATGCAAAGAAAAGAAACAAAAAAAGTATAAAACTAATAGGCAAGGAAGTATCAGCAAGTGAAGAAACCAAAGCAGAAAGATTCCTGGAGTCTTGGGTACAAAAAAAGCCAGGAAAAGCTATACAATTAAAGAAAATAAGCCATATAGTGACACACAATCTCAATACAATAAGGAGAAGGAAGATATCAGTGGAGATAGTCAGATACCTAATAAATAGAGTAATTCTTCCAGCAATGGAATACCTAGTAGCAGATATACACATTCAGAAAAGCACAATAGAAAAATGGCAGAAAAGTATAGATGGAGTATACAAACAGAAAAATAGTCTTGCGAGTAGCTTCCCAAGCAGCGCTTTGAGAAGCCAAACATTGAGTAGCATTAAGGATATCCAAGAAAGATTAGCTCTAACAAGATTAAGTGATCTGAAAACAATTCTAGAAGATAAAGGGATACAAGGAGGCATAGATGAAATCAGACTCTTGCAATTGCAAGAGGAAGCATAGTCAACAAAAAAAGTAACACAAAATGGCAAAGACTTATATAGGGAAAGAAAGAGAAGTATAATTGCAGATATAATATACGAGAGCCTGAAGCAAGGCTTCAAAATAAAAACAGAGAGATGGGAAAAAATAACAGAAAGAAGGAAAGGAGTGATTGCAATTGAGAAGGTGTTGGATGAACAAATCTACAAGGAACAAAAAAGAAACATGAGAAAATAGAAAGTAATATATATGAAGCAAGTAGTAAAGGATAATGACATAAAACTAATGGAGTGGGAAAGAATCAACTCAAGACATGGCAACAAAAGGAAAAAACCCAAATGGTACGCCATAATAGAGAAAAACTGGAGCAAAATCTGTAGCAAAATAACCAAAAAGTCAATGAAAGCACATAGCAATACCTAGGGAAAACAAAGCAACAGATATGAAAAGGGTAAAATGGATCGCTTTTGGACAGGAAGAGGAAGTTATAGTAGGAAGAAAAAAAAGGAAAATCAATACTGAAACAGCAAGAATTCTATATTACAAAGAACACAAAGAGACCCAAGAACTAAAAGAATATGAAGGGTATAATTTAAACGAGTTTAACAAAGAGAAGAGATGCCAATTTGATAAAAAGATAGAAGAAACATGATAGCCAGCAGTGAAAAAGATTAAAATGGAGAAGAGTGGAAGGACTCTATATATCAAGAAGAGAACACAAGAACCACAGGAAATTCTGAAAACAAGAGTAGTACAAGAAAACAAAAGGAAAAGGAAAAGAATAAAGGAGACTTCGGACAGGAAAATATATGCAGACACAGCATGGAACAAAAAAACAAAAAGAGAAACAGAGGTATGGAAGTATATGGAGAATGGTGAAGCAACAAAAAGTGGGACATGGAAAAACATAACACAAAGCGTAACACAGGCAGAGCTGGAAACAATAATAGAAAGCTTAAGGGAAATTGAAAAAGAAGAAGAAATCAAAATAATAACAGATCTAAAACTGGCAGAACAATATATAAATGGAGGAAAAGAACTAGAAGAGAACTACAAAGACAAAATAAAGAAAGAGCAGTACTAGCCAAGCTAGGCATGACCTTAAAAGAAAAAGAGAAGATAAACTTGAAAGCAAAATGGATAAATAAGAGTAATCAAGACCAAACATTCAAAGAGATGAATAAGGAAATGAAAAAAAACCAAAAAAGAGTAGGGATAGAAAAGGAAAAAGAGAATATCAGTAAAGATAGAGGAATAGCATGGGGTAAGGGATACAAAACGATGGTTGGAAAAGAATATGGAAGATTGACAATAAAATTAGGAACTTCATAGCATGGATAAAACTTGAAAGAAACAAGCAAATACAAAGCTATTTAACTAGACAGCAAATTGACTGGAAAGCAACATGGGAGCAATACAAAGAAGCACAGCAGAATAGCGAGGAAAAGAAACTAGTAGCAGGTGGCTGGAAAAGAAATTTAATAGTGAATTGCCAACTTTGGAAAAAAAGAAAGCAAGAGACAACAAGAGATATGCTAAATATAAGAAATGCGTAAGATGTGGAGAAAAAAAAGAAGACCAAATACATGTATGGGAGTATAAAATGGCAAAACCACAGATAGCAGAACTAAAAAAAAGAATCGAAGAAATAATGGAGCAATATATTGACAAAGAGATAATGATAGAGAGGAGGGAAGAAATAAAAAGAGAAATTGGAGACCTAGTACAAAAAAATAAACTACTAATCAGCTAGGCATGGATCTTACAAGGAGTGGTACCAAAACATTGGACCAAAAGTTTGAAAAAAATAAACAAAAAGAAAGTGGCAGAGGCACTGAAGAAAATAAACGAAGCAATAGAACAGCAAGCAAAAAGAATATGGAAGAAGAGAAATGAATTAGTAAGGAAGTGGGAGAAGGAAAATGAAATAGAAAAAAAGCATAAAAGAAAATGAAAGAACAATAAAGGGAAAAGCATAAAAAAGGCAAAACAAAAAAAGTGAAATTAAAAGAGACAGACAGAAACGGAAAGAGAAAAGAAGACAATAATATATACATAACAGAATGGCTAAATAGAAAAGAAAAAGAAGCTAAAAACAACAGAATAGAATATATAAAGCTAAGGTAAGGCTTGGTCAACAAGCAAGATGGCAGGCTGCACTTGGATGGTCTATGGTACCTGTGGGTGGATTCTAGTTAATATAAAAATAATATAGCCCAATCTTTATATAAATGTATATAAAAACCATCTATATTAATAAACTAGAGTAAAGTCTCACTTTAGTAAAAAAAAAAAAAGCTGAAATAGAATTTATATTACAACAAAAATTGAAAAAAATATTATTACCTATACTATCAAAAAATATAAATGAAATTAATAGTGCTATATTATTAAAAAAATTATATGGTATGGGATATAAATAAAAATTCTAATGATTTTTTTCAATTTTGTATTTGATTTTCAAGTTTATATTAAATTTAATAGATGGGATATATCTCACTATCATTTTTAATAGTGTTTAGAATCTTATATAATTTGTTGCAATTTTGTTTGATTTTAATTTTCAGAATCATAGATATAGAGATAGTTTATTAATAGATTTTATGAAAACATATAAAAAGTGCAATTATGATATAAAAAGAACATATAATAATAAAATAGGAAAAGTAAAAAAAAGATTAAATGAAATTTATGAATCTGTAAACTAATTAATCAAAGAATTTCAGAAAATAAAAATAAATAAAAATAATATTGCAAAATCTAATTTTACTTGATCTTATTTCATACTTTTTAAATTTTTATATTCTCAATATGAAAATAATAATAATAGTGAATATAAAGAAGAAAACAATATATGGCTTAATAATTATTCTAAAAAAAAAATATGTAAATAAAACATATAATCAGCAATTGCCAAAGCTTTCACCAAAAATACATAAAATGTGTTTGTCTCAAAAGATTTAAAAGAAAAAATCAGATAAGTGATTTTTATCTTTATAGTACTTATATTGTAATATAAATAATTTATCAATTTTTGAATCATTCTTAAATTCTGGATTTAAATAAGGATCCTAATGATTCTTTTCAATTCTATATTTGATTCTCAAGTTTATATTAAATTTAATAGGTGGGATATACTTATACATGTTGCTGAAATTCATAAATCCTTGACACAATTGATGCAATTATTTGATGCAATTAATTGAGTCACTATTAAAACATATAAATAATTGAATCATGATACAATTATTTTTAAGGATTTTGAGAATTAAGTCAACAGCAAAATAATTTATGCCACATGTATAGGTATACTGATGTTAGTTCTATAAAAGTCACAGGATATAGTCATGTATCATGACTATTGCGTTGCATACCCTAGAAATGTGAAGTAGCATTAGTAATTAGTATAGAAAATGTAGTTATAGAACTTATATAACTTACCTATAGTTTGTTTTAACCCTGATAGTCTATTTTCCCTTAATTGTTTTTCTAGTAGTAGCAATGATATAAATAGTAATGCCAATGTATAAGCAAAAAGAAAGAGATAAAAAATCAGAAAAAAAAAGGAATAATAATAAAAATTGAAATGCTAAATAAGAAATATTGTAATTAACAACTTACCTTTTCAAGTACATACCATACAGAGAAGAATAATTGCTGCTATAGGACATAGCCCAGGATTATCAAGAGAAGAGCTGGTGTTGGAAAAGAAGAGAAAAGCTTGTTAATAATGAAAAGCCCTGACTAAATCAATCTTATGCAAACATTGGACCAGTAAAGCAACTGACTCACCGATTTCTGGGCCAACAATTAATGTTCCGAACCTTATGCGATTTCTTGCGATTCTGTTCAATTCCAATTTTTGAAACCATAGATTCAAATTTGATGCGATAAATGATTCTACAATTAAGATACTTAAATAGTGACTAATAAATTATTTAATTTTACTATAAAGAGCAATTCTAAACATATTACCAATTTATTAAGATGATATACTGATATATTAATTATCTTGAAAAATAAAAAAAAATGAGACTGTTACAATTATTGAAAATTTTATTAATATTAATAATGGAGAATCTAAATCAATACTATTTTTAGGCATGTCAAATATTCAAAAAGTTCAAGATATTCTTAATTCAAATAATAATCAATTTTATATAAATATTTATAGCAAGTCTTATATACAGTAATTCCAATATTCAATAAGACTCCAGTAGTAAAGGATCCACCAAAAAAGACAAAGATTATAGAAATATTGGATTTTAATAAATTGGAAACTCAAGACTCTAACTCTTTATCTAGTGAAGAATTATAAAAAAAATTAATTATATAAATTATAAAAGTATAAAAAATCAAATAAAAGAGCTTGAAAAGATATTATTATCTAGTATTCAATCCAATTTAGAAATAATAGAATATTATAATAATTTACTTAAATAATATGAAGCTAAGATTGAATATGAGCATAACTAGATTCTTTAATTTTTTCTATATTCCTATTAGTTCTCTTAAACAAATTCAAGATATCTTCAAAGAATTCAGTAAATGAAATAATATTTTTTTTTGTTTTAAATATTTTATTTATATTTTTCAATAAATTCTTAGTATTGGAAATATGAATAGACTTAAACTTGGATTTTTTAACTTTAACTTTTTTAATTGAATTTATTAACAAATTTATTTATGGATCCATTAGTGAATATAATATTATATCTTTGGAATTTATTTGTGAATAAACTTTTCTTCAAATTTGATATACCTGTTATAATGAAATTTTATATTTCTTAATTATAACTTCTAATACTTACTTTATTGAATTTTTAGCTTTAATAATATTTTAAAAATCTTTAGCAAATAATGAATTGTATCTGAATACAAATATCAAAACATTTTTTACAATTAGATAAAAAAAAAAACTATTAAAAATTATTGATATATTTTTAATAAATTTATTAAATTCAGTATAATGATATATTTTTTAGTATATTTTTAATAGATTCGATACATTTGATAAATGTATTGATAAATTTTTAGTTCATTTGATTATTTACTATATTGAATATATCGATAAATTTTTGATAGATTTTATTTATTAATTTTTTTACTATACTAATAATTAAGCTAAAAAAATTTATAAGCAAAGTATATAGCTTGAAAGATATTGAAAATAAAGATTATTAGGTTGATAGCATTTGTGAATCAAAACTTGAAAAAGCATTATATAATAATATTAAGTTTAGTTCTTATCTTGCTAATAAATATATGAATCTATAGGATGAATACTCAAAGCAAGTAAAGAATTTTGATCAGGAAAGAAAAAAGTGAAATCAGGATGTATTATATAATAATACTAAGTTTCAGAAATTACAAACTTGCACTTTACAAATTATTAATAAGAATAAACAACTTCAAAATGAGAATACTAACCTTATATTCCAACTTATTCAATTACAAATTTTCTATATCAAGTATAAAGCCAAGTATAATATCCAATTGAAAAAAATAAAATTATTTTAAACTATAAATAAGATATTAAAAAATAAATTGAAATCAGCTTAGAAAGATGTATACTCCCCTGATATTGATCACTGGATGCTGATCAAATTTCTTACAAACGGTAAAAATATTATTGATTTTTTTTTTATTTTTTTTAAAATGGACATATTATTTGTATCTCAAATTTTTTTGTCCAAAACTAAAAGATTAATATTATTTATTTATATGTTTAATACTTTGTAGGATTGCCTCTGGAAATTTTAATGGCCTTAACATGGCGAGGCATACTTGACACAAAATTTTCATAAATTGAGACATCAATATTAAACCACTCTTCTTGTAAGAAATTGAATAGCTCTGTTTTACTGGTTGGTAGAGAATTGCGCTTACAAACCTGACATTCCAATTAATTTCAGAGATATTCGATCAGATTAAGATCTGGACTCTGGGTGGGCCATGGAAGGCAAGAAATATTTTTTTCTGTCATCCATTTTTTGATAATATGTGCTTGATGAGTTAAACAATTATTATCCTGAAATAAATAATCAGAATAACTCTCTAAGTATGGTAGCAAATTATTATCAAGTATTTCTATATAGTCACTAGCTGTTTGTTGATCACTAATTCTAACTAACAGACCTAAACTATCTGTTGTAAAACACCTCCAAACTATTATACCTCTTCTATCAGATTTAAAAGTAGGAACTATACAATTAACATTATACTTTTTCTTAGGTTTTCTTCAAACATAATCATAACCATTATTTCTAAATACTTCAAATTGAGATTCATTACTTCAAATAATAAATTTTCACTCTTCTTTCCATTTCATTCATTCTTGTGCCCATTCAAAACATGTCTTGCAATTTCTTTCATTTATAAAAGGTTTTCTCTTTTCAACTCAACTATAAAACTCTTCAATATGAAGATAACGTTGTATTGTACATGAACTAACTTTTATTGTTGTAGATTCAGTGAATTTATTGATTAAAACATTTAAGATAGATTTTCTATCTTCATTTACAAGACAAATAAGATGACGAACATCCTATTCACTTAATTTAAGTACTTGTCCAAAGCAAGGGGAAGGTTTGACTTTGCCAGTTTTTTTATAATGTGTAATAGTATCATAAACAGTAGTTCTGGAAAGTTTTAGAGTCTTTGCAATCACTGGAGTCTTTATTCTGCACCTCTAAGCACCAATAACTTGGTTGCATTCTCCTTTATCAAGTTCTTTTCTTTTTTGATTCATTTTGTATAAAAAATAAAACAAAAAAAAATTATATGTACATTAATAAGTAGCTAAAGTTTTGGCAAAAGTGCAAAAAAAAATTAGGGTGAATTAACATGCATGTTTATGCTGGTAACAAACTTGAAAAAAATTAATCACCAGTGTTAATCATATTCAATTTTAAAAAATCCAGTGATCAATGTCAGGGGAGTATACTTTCAGTTCAAGATAATGTAATAGAAAAAGAATTCAAGATATTATTTCTTAAATATAAAATGACAAAATTGGAACAAGAGTTGGCTTTAAAAATTAATAAGTTAAAACATTTAAAATTGAAGAATATTTTGAAACTTGTGATTACTGAAGGTGATGAAAAAAATATAGAAAGCAAGAAATAAAATTCCATATCGAAATTTGATAATAACATTACAATTAATAAAAATATTTATATAAAAAAATATATAGGGTGATTTATAATTTTTTAGAATTTTTTTAATTTTATATTTACTCTTATAATTAAATAAAAAAAATCATTAAAATTTTATAAAATTTTATTTAAATATAATTTAAAACCTAAAAATAAATAGTATAAATTTTATTAAAAAATATTTATTTTTTAAGATTTTAGATAATACATAAAAATTTAGAAAAAAGTTTTTTTGAACTGTTATAAACAATTATATTTTT